TTACAAATATAAGTTTTGTTTATCCTTTCCTTGAAATCCAATGTATTTTTATGCCGAGTTCGCCGTTATGTTTTTAATTTTTCTACAATGTATTTACATAGATTGTAAGTCGGTCTTAGTGATGTTTCCTATTTATGTATTTTTGGAAGTCCATAAATTCTTGGGGGTAAAGCCGTGTTTGAGGTGAGTTTGTTTCTTTCGGCCTTTGAAACAAGTCCCATTTTAAAAGTTTATCCACTAAACTGTTGTTTTTATTTTGTAATCTAGATGTGGGATCCTGCCTTTGAATTCTGTAAGTTGTTAAGTCATCTAATATATTTAACATTATATTAATTTAATTTAATTAATTATTAAGCAGGTCCTCTATTAAAACCCAGAGAAGAGAGAAGAGGGACGCAAGTAATCCTCTCGAAATGCAAGAAGTAATGTAAGTGTAGTGTGTTCATGATTACTTTATTTCTAACTGCACTTTAATGCAGGTTCATAAAAAATTTTCGCTTAAACTAAGCCCCATTTACGTACGTCCTAAGTCTTTTGAAAGAGAAAGCAGCTCCTTATTGCTCGTCATCCATAACCCTAGTTCACCGGCTATCTTCTGTTTTAAGATTTCTCGTGGAGGGAGGCTATCAGCATGGAGTGGGCAAGGATTATGACATACCGATGGCTCAGTCCACATTTTGCTGCGTTTTAAAAGACGTATTGGCGTTATTACAAACTCATATTTGCCCACATTGGATAAAACTTAACTTAAGTGATGACGAAAAACGGCAAGCAAAGATTGACTTTTACCAAAAAAACGGGGTTTCCTGGAGTAGTTTTGTGAGTGGACGGGACTCATATTAAAATAATTTCTCCCACTGAAGCCAAATTCTTGTATTATAACCGAAAAGGGCACTACAGCATCAATGCCATTATAGTAAGTTTGATAGACAAGTTATGCATCAAGGTTTAATTAAATTATTTGCAGATTTGCGATTACAAAATCAAAATCCGCTATGTGAATGCGCAGTACCCAGGAAGCAATCACGATTCCCATATAATGAACGTCAGCAATGCGAGATGTTTCTTTGAGAGGAACTACTTAAATGGTGAACGTAACATTTGGATTTTGGGTAGGTAAACAAAATTTAAGTGAAAATTTATAAAATTCGTTTTTCCACGTTCAGGGGATGCTGGGTACTCCTTGGAACCATGGTTGATGACACCTTTCCCTTCACCTCCGCCTGGTAGCTCCGAAAGCCATTACAGCAAGATACACGCCAAAGCTAGAAATATTTTAGAAAGAAGAATTGGTCTTTTAAAATATAGATTTAGATGTCTATTACCTTGTTTATACCGACACATAAAGCACTTTGACCCAGTTCGCTGTTATTCAAAACAGAAGCATAAACCAAATTTCAATACGCTCAGAAATTCAAAAGTGTATTGATTTGATTTTGTTTTCAAATCGGTATTTTATTTCCCACATCGGTTAGAAAACAGGTATAAACACATCACTCATTTAACGCGAAGTGAAAAACTGCTGGTTTTCTTTATACAGCCCGTTTTAAATGTGAATTATTATTGTAATAAATTTGAATTATTGTTCGCTTCTATTTCGGTCAATCGCGCAAATTAATTATTAAAGAAATATCGAAAGAAACCAACAAATTTTGTTTACTTTTGAATACGGTTTCAGCGAGGGCGCTATAAAGACACAGGTATAAACTTTTGAAAGAAATATGTGTTGAGTCAAATCGTTTTATTGTAAATGCGGTTCTTACATTGGTAGAAACAAGGTATATAACGAGAACACTAATAAGTATACGAAGAGAAGACTGGTTTTAACTAATATTAAACATGAAATAAAAGAATGTCAAAAATGAATTTTAATAGAATTTTGCTTTTGTTTATTTTTGGAAAATGCTTCTATTTTTTTTTCTTCTATATTTAACATTTGTTGTTTTATTTGGTTTTTTGCGCGGTTAAATTTTCCATGGCTCTGTTATGCCTGCGAATTTCTTCGAGCTCTTCTTTTTTCAGCTCGTAAACCTTTTCAGTGGCTCTACCCAACCGTCGAACACCAGAGCAAAGCTCATCTAGCTTTGTGCCCTGCTGGGTGAAATGTTGGAGGCTCTTTTCGTAATAGGGCTTTCGCACGAGGCGATTTTTCAGGCAACTTTTGCGTTCAACTCACGCAGGGTTGCACGAAAAAGAATTGAATGGCTTAAAATATCAAAATATAAATAAATATATAAATATTCGCAATAAAAAGGCGTTTGCATTGTTCAACTTTGCATTCTACTTTTGGTTGAACGGCCTTTCAACTAATCGCTTTCAACAAAGCCAACATTTAGCCATTCAACTTTTTTTTCGTGCAACCCTGCGTGAGTTGATAGCAAAAGTTGAACGCAAAATCGCCTCATGCGAACACCTTTTAAAAGTCTTTCTGCAGGACCAACTGCTCTTTTAGAAAATCTGCTGCAGAAGTATCGGCACGCTTCTGTGACGCAGGAGCACGCCTTGGAAGTGAGGGAGAGAGAGCAGAGGCCATTGACAAGTCAGAAACAGCTTCAGCATTTTCTCCGCCCAATGGCTCAGGTAATCCAACGCTCATCGTGTTTTTTATGCCAAGCGTGCTCGTCTCTAAAGCAGTGAGCCGGATTACCTCTTCTTCCATTACATTAAAACTATGTTGCCTGTTTCGACCACCACCAGTTGCCAACTCCTCTCTATTGTTGTCCGCAAGTTTTCTTTTAATATATGCCTTCCAGTCTAACCATACCTGAAGAAAAGTATATTTAGTTAGCAAACAATGCATGCCTTTTTTCAACTTTTTTCCAACTCGATACATCTTTAGTTGGCGGACCGAGCCTATTTAGCTCCTTAGCCACATTCTCCCAAAACTCCATAACTTCGTCCTTCCACATCTTTAAAATCCTTGCGCAATTTCAGGTCCTGCTGCATTTTCTCGAGCAAAGCTGCGTATTTCTGCCTGGTTGTTACCACCTTGGACCTTATAAAAACATATTTCCACACAAATTAATTCAATTTTTATTTTTATTAATTTAAAGTTTACATTTTTCAGTAATTTAAACATTTTTTTTCTTTTAATAATAGAATTTTGCGCGCCTTTCGCTTCTTCTCCGACAGAATCAACTCGTCGTAGAAAAATTGCACGAAACTCTACGATATGACGTTTCGAGTGGATTCTGTGAATGCAACCCTACGAATTTCGAATTTACGTCGTAGCAATTCGAATTGCGTGATAGCTATTTCGGAACATCTCCGAAAATTTAGCCTACGATGGATTCTATGATAGGGCTGATTGTAATTTTTCTTGAGAAATGTTCGTGTTCGCTCCACTGTGTCTAACATTGTGTGGTCTTTTATTAATAACGAGAATTTTTTACGCGCTTCCTCTTGTTGTTCTTTGTCTTTTAGCGTCTGTATCATGTCCTCCCCGTCAGCAATATATTGAAAAATAGGAAATTTGTTATTCTCGACGAGTAGTGCGATTTTTGGACCCTTCGACAGCAATGCTTTTATGTCTGGCGGGAACTCCACTTTGGTTTTGTTTACAAACCAATCTTCATGTTTATTGTTGTCGACAAAGATGTTATTACCAGCCTCATCATGTATCTCGAAACGAGCATTCGTTTCGTCTGCAACACGAATCGTTCGTCACTTGGTACAGCTGATCGTTACGTTGCTTTCGTCTAGTTTGCGATTTTCTAACGCGAAAAGGAGACGAAAGAGAGACGATAATCGTTAAAAACCAACGAAAGGTTATAAGTGATCGTCGAGATGGATCGTTCAGCCAAAAT